GAACCCGCGTCCCCTGCATCGGCAGGCGGACTCTCAACCACAGCGCCACCAGGGAAGCCCGGGAGGCCTCTTTAATAAGAACAAAAAGTTAAAGGGAGTGACCATTATCCTAGGAAATAATGTTCTTCTTTCCCTCTCCCCTTCCTCTTTGCTCTTCTTAATTCTTTATCTCCTAAACCCATACCACTCCCATTTAGCTGGTCTATTTTGTGGTGTGCACAGTAGCAGCACTTTGGAAATCTCTAAGCTGTGTTTGGCAGGGAATTTGCTACATCTGTGGTTAAAGAGCCCCAGTGAAATCTCTGATAGACATTAGTTTCCCCACAAAAAGACTGATTTGTTTAGTCTAGGTTCAGTATTTTTCCATTTTCAGTATGTTTGTTTGTTTAAATTGAAGACATCATATAGCCAAATGTGTGTGTGTGTATGTGTGTGCGTGTGCATATGTGTATTTAACTATCAAGGAGTCTCATCTTCCTTCCTGGGTCATCTTCAGGAGCCTCCAAGCATATATTACCCCAGGGAAGCAAGTGTTTTCTCTGTTAGGAGCTCACATCACTTCCTATGAGAAGCCGTCCCCAGCTCTAGGCCATCACTTCCGTCTCTATGTTCTCACAGCTGTGCACTCTTTCGTCTGTTAATGTCTCTATTTCCTTGTCTGTTTCTATCAGTAGAAAGAGCACCTTGAGGACAGGAATTGAGCCTTGGCGGTTTCTATAGCTCATCATGTGGCACAACACCAGGAATATTGTACGTGCTCAGTACATATTTGAGGGATGAGGGTATCTATCCCCATAATTATAAACTTGTGTATTTTAATAATATAGCTACTGAAAATACCCACCCCAAATCCAAAACACCAAAAGGGCTCATCGTAAGCCCAGCCAGGAGTCACTGACAAAATAATCATCATATTGACCCCTCTGATTTCCTCATAGCTGGCCAGTTTCTCTGAGCAGGATTTGCTTACCTGTACCAGATCCCTATGTGGGAACTGGCTCAAATCTACAGAGGATCCTTTGACCCTCTCAGTTGTCCTGTGTGCCCCCAAATGGGCTCTTGAGTATGTCAGACAGCTAGAGAATGGGTGGAAACCACTGGTCTCTGAGAACATTTGATCTCCAGATCAGGGTGACTCTGGTGTCTTCAAGCTCACTTAAAAGTGAGAATATAGCAAGGCTTGGGACCCAGCTGCAGCCCAGAGTCAGGGATGATCACCAGATTCTGGAAAATTCTGGAATCTAGGAGAGTCATTCAATCATTCAGAGAAATATATTTATGCAATTCATCAGGTTTAAGATAAGTAAAAGCAGATAGAGTCCTTGGTCTCTCAGAGCTTACAAACTAATGAGAAATTAGACATTAATCAAATTAATGAAATATATTACAAACTGAAATATGAATGCATACTTAAAACCCCAAATCTGAACTTGCTGGGACATCTCAAGACATCTATGAAGAATTGGTGTGTAAATTTTGATCCAAAAGATGAGTAGGAATTAAATAAGTGATGAGGAAACAGAAGAAGTATTCCATAGGGAGGGAACAATATGTGCAAAGGCCCTGAGGTGAGAGGGTACCTGGTGCATTTAAGCAACTGGAAGAAGGCCTGTTTGACAGGAACTTGGGAAATGAGGGAGAGAGGGGTGAGAGGTATTGGCAGTGGAGGTGAAAAGAGGTCAGAATGTGCAGGGTCTTAGAGGCAACTTTAAGGATTTGTCTTTTGCTTATAAGCAGTGGGAAGTCACTGAAGGATTTTTAATCAGAGGTATGACATGATCATAATTGTATTTTGAAGATCACTTTGGCTACTGTGGGGAGGAATGTATTGGAAGGTCCTAGAGACCAGCTAGCTCATTCAAAAAGCTAATGAAATGATTCAAAGGAGAACATGGTAGCTTGGACCAAGGTGTTAGTGGTGGAGGATGGAGAGAAGTGCATGGATTTGAGATGATATATAAGATAGGAAACCTTGGGAAAGGATCATATTTAAAAGGAATATTTTGACTTAAGTCTTGGAGTTGAGCTGAAGTAACTTTGAAGCATTTAAGTGGATATGGTAAACAATCAAGTCGATACACAGATATTCATGTATTTGTACATGCTAATCACAGTATTGAGAATTGTATGGAACAGAAAAGTATATTGAACTTGGATTCTTTTTTTTTTTTTTTTTTGCGGTGCGCGGGCCTCTCACTGCTGTGGCCTCTCCCGTTGCGGAGCACAGGCTCCGGACGTGCAGGCTCAGCAGCCATGGCTCACGGGCCCTGCCGCTCTGCGGCGTGTGGGATCTTCCCGGACCGGGGCACGAACCCGTGTCCCCTGCATCAGCAGGCGGACTCTCAACCACTGCGCCACCAGGGAAGCCCTGAACTTGGATTCTTTTCTTGAAGGAGTTCAAAATTATGAAATAGTCATGAGGAATGGTTGAGGATATTTGGTATAAAGAAATGAGGGCTTGGAGGTTGAATATGATAGCTGTCTTCAAATATTTAAAAATATAAGGGTAGAACTTAAGTGTGTGTTGCTCCAGAATGCATAACAAACACCAACATGTGAAGTTACAGGGAAGCAGACTTCGATCTGGTATAAAAAGTGATTTTTTAATATCAGAACTATCATTGAAAATACTTGAGACTGAATGATCCTTTATTCAATCAATATTTAATGAACATGTAAATTGAATGGAGGGATTCCTGCTTGACCTTTAAGATCCCTTCTGGTTTCAAATTCAATGATTCTAATTTTCTGT